AATTGTTTACTTTTAAAGAATTTGATAATGTATATCTATCAAATAAATATTTACAAAACAATTGCTATATGCAGGTTGATTATTGATCATTACGATAAGAAATTTTTTTAATATAAGAGTCTCAAAAAAATGCTCTTGAACAATTTGAATTTCGTACTATTTTTAAAAATCTTAAAATTAAATGTTTTTACAAATTATCTTTGTTATAATTTTTATCGATTTAACCATGTCTGCAACTTGTTTTGGTAGACTTTTTAAAACCAATTCAGGTCGAGTTTCTGCAAATTAACAAGAGGTTTTAGTGACTCTTTCTGGATTATATGATAATCTACCCACATATCAAGAGGCAGTTCACTCAGGTATTTAATTTCTCAAAGAATTTAGTTCTTTTTTGAAAAAATTAAATTTAAATCAAATTTTTAAAAATCAAAAATTAAAAAATTTTAAATACTACATGTCTTTAAAACAAACAGCACAAAATGCTTCTCAAACTCAATCAGAAGCTCTTCGAATTCAAGAACAAAAAAATGTTAATTACCTTCGAGAAAGACTTACAGATAAATTTTCAGTCTATGAAAAAAGAAGTAAACCTTGTAAAGAAGGCAACAATTGTTATAAAAAATATTTATATTATGTAAGTGTAATAATTTTTATTTTTTTTTTTTAGTTTAGAATTTATATATAGTGGACAAATAATACACATAAAATTAACATTAAACTTCTAAAGCAAGCAGCAGAGGTTCAAGTTAAAAAAGAACTTTTTAATAATTATTTAGATTTAGTTAAAAAACAATTTTTAGAATTTATTGAATTTGTTAGAATAAAATAGCTATAGCCAAATGGCTTGTATTTAACAAAATAATTAATCAATTTTCTTTGTTCATGTTTGTTGTTTGCACTATGTGAAAAATGAATATGAACAAAGGTGATCGATTACATGTAATATTTTTATTTTTTAAATAGTTATAATTTTATTAATAAATTAAAAGATTTTTACAAATAAATATTTACATAATTTATAAAATAATTACATAAATTTATAAGGTTGATAATTTTGTCCTATAAAAAATAATAATGCTCTTGGTTTAAAAAACTGATTTCTATTAGATGTATCAGTATCCTCCTCCCAATCAAGCTCTTCAATTAAAAAAGCTTGTATATTATCATATCGAGTTACTTTGACTTTTTCTTCTATTAATATTTGTTTTTTCATATTTTGAAGAACAATTTCAACAACTCTTCATACTATTGGACCCTGGCCAAGAATTCTAGCCAAATCAGAATGAAATTCTTCTTTAAAAAGATAAAGATAAAAAAAACTAGGTGAAGTAGGAGTTGAGAGAAAAAAATCATATTGTTATATTTTTTGGTTGATATTTTTTTTGAAAAAATTTTTTTAATTGTAGAGAAAGAAAGTTTTTGAATAGACATTTTTATTTTTGTTTATTTGTTTGTTTATTTATATTTTTTTTAAAAAAATTTATTGTTGATAAATTTGGTATCGATCAAACAATTGGACTTTATTTAAATAAACAAATAAGAATTTATGCGAATTTAGAAGCTTTTATAATTTATCT